CAAGTCAACTAGGGAACCTGAGGGTGAGGGAGCTTCGGCTCTGTTTTCAGAAGTGCTCAAGTCAGCGAGGACGAGAAGGCATAGGGCGATGCCAGCTCCTGCAGCTGGTAGGACAAGCACGCTGCCAGAGAGAAATTACTCCATCATTGTAGCTAGCGATAGGCCTGAATTGTCATCTGCGGTGGAAGTGAAGAAGACGCTGTTAAAAGCAATCGACCCTGTGGCAAACCGCATGCGGATTAAAAACATAAGGATGTCTAAGAGCGGCAAAGTCTTCGTGGAGACCCACTCAAAAAGCGACATCGATAAGATTGTGTCCAATCAAGCCATTAAAAAATGTGGTTTGACAACAGACTCGTCCACGAATAGAAAACCGAGGATGATTGTTTATGATATTCCGAGAGAGATGGAGGTGGAGGATATAAAGAAAGCGATCTATGACCAGAATCCGGAACTATTCTTGGAAGTAAGTCGAGACAGAGTTTTCGAGGGATGTAATTTCTGCTTCAGAACGGGACCGAAGGATGGAAGTACAACTAACTGGGTTATAGAGATGAACTCTGACATAAGACATCTTTTCAAGTCTGTCCCAAAATTATATATTGGGTGGATGAGGTGCAGGGTTTCGGATTTTGTGGCAGTGACGCGTTGTTTTAAATGCTTGGACTTCGGCCATATAGCCAAATATTGTAGAGAGACCGAGAACACATGTTTCCATTGTGGATTGAGTAAACATACTCGAAATAAGTGCCCCAATCTTAATAAGCCTGGAGCATGTGGGCTATGTAAGAGACGGAACCGGCGATCGGATCATGCGTTAAATGATAAGAACTGCCTCTCGTTTAGGATAGCCCAGAGTCGTTATGAGCATTCGATCGATTATGGACAGCAGCAATAACGTTATTATATTTCAGCATAACCTTGGCAAAGGCAAGGTGGCTTCAGCGGAACTAGGGGGAATGGTAGCCTCTAGGGGAGCCTCAGTGTTGCTTGTACAGGAACCCTGGACTGTGAGGGAAAAAATATGCGGCTTGGGGTCTACGTCTAATAGAATTATGAAGGGGACTAAGCGGGAGGAGACTCCTTGGGCTTGTGTAGTGGTAACAAATAATCTGTTGGATGTAACAATGCTTAGGCACCTGAGCGAGCCTTCGTGTGTTTGCGTGCAGATTTCGAGCAGGGTTGGTGACTTTTATGTCGTATCGATGTACTGCCCCCCGTCGGTTGACATAGGAAAGAGTATAGCACAGTTGAGAAAAATACATAACGAGCTGCATGGGGCTAGAGTGCTGGTGGACATGGACGCAAATGCGCGCTCACCTCTTTGGCATAATAGAACATCGGATGACAGGGGCACTGAAATGGAGGAGTTCCTGATGGAGTGTGGATGGCTTGTGCTGAATGAGGGCGGAAATAGTCATACGTTCGCCACTGTCAATGGAGTCAGTAACATCGATGTGACATTGATTAGTCCCAGTCTGTACCTGCTTTTTAGGAGCTGGAGGGTGGAGACAGGATGGACCAACAGCGACCACAGAGTCCTGACGATATGCCTGGGTGATGTCCACATTCGTCCTTCTTTAAGGGAGCCAAGATATAATGTTAGGAGTGCTAATTGGAAGAGATTCCGTGATAAATTTGCTGAGGATTGTGGTATGGAGGACTGGTCTGCCTCTTGTTGTTCGCAGATTCAGGATAAAGCGACACGAATTACTGAGGCGATACGCCGAGCCGGGGATGCCTCTATACCGAGGAAAAAGACATTTAGACGGTCGGTACCCTGGTGGAGTGAACATCTAACTTCACTTAAAAAGAAGGTAACAGAGCGAGAAGAAGGTACCAGAGAGAGAGGAATGATGTTACTAGAATGACATTAAGAAGGGAGTATTCTCAGGTTAAAAGAGCTTATTGTCGGGAGGTGAATCAAGCCAAAAATAAGAGTTGGAGAGACTTCGTGACCAGGGAGGGTAACAAAGAAGTTTATGGGTTGGTGTATAGGATCACGGCCAAGAGAGTTGGTCCGGATGATGCTCTAAGCAGCATTAATACTGCGATGGGCCAGTCCGTGACCTGGAAGGGTACGGCGGAGGCACTTCTGGATTGTTTGATTCCAGATTGTGATCCTCCGACGGATGTGAGTGCCTTAGTATTGGACACGGGGACGGAGGAAGATATCATCCCTTGCACGGTTAGGGAGATAAATAGGATCATCAGGGACCTGCGAAATCGAAAAGCGCCAGGCATGGATTTGATTGAGGCGCAGATGATCAAGCGCCTTGGAGGAGATGTAGGCCTAGTCGGTGCTCTGCTTGAACTGTTTAACAGTTGTCTCAAGTTAGGGGTGTTTCCGTCTGTCTGGAAGAAAGGACTCATCAGGGTACTGTTAAAATCTAGTGATAAGGATCCGTGTTGTCCGGGATCCTATAGACCGATTTGTTTATTGCCGATACTGGGCAAGATGCTGGAGGTCATTAAGTTGAAACTTGAACCATACCTGTGGGATGAACGTTTTGCTTCTTCCACATAGTTTGGTTATAAACCAGGCCTCTCGACGGTTGACGCAGTATTAGGGGCTAGGTGTGTGGTGACTGAGTCCTCTGAAAAGTATGTGTTGGCTATTCTGTTTGATGCTACGGCTGCCTTTGACAACCTATGGTGGCCTTCTGTGGCTGCAGAACTTGTTAGGAGGAAGTGCCCGAACTATCTGTATGGCATCTTAATGGACTTTTTGGAGGGAAGGACAGTGACAATGGCGGGAAATTATAATTGTGTCACAAAGAGGGTGACTAAGGGCTGTCCGCAGGGCTCTATTCTGGGGCCGATTTTATGGAACTTGGTATTTGATGGCCTTCTCCGACTTTTGGAGGCAGAAGAATGTGATTGCTTCGCCTATGCGGATGATCTTCTAGTGCTAATCAGGGCGGACAGTCGTCGCGGCATGGAATCAAAGGGGCAACATATTACCAATGTCGTCGTGAAGTGGTTCGAGGAAAACAGATTGAAGCTGTCACAGAATAAGACCGAGATGATCCTTCTTAAGGGAAGCCTCTCGAATAGATCCCCTATTATTAAGATCGGGAATGGGGCAATTAGAATGGTTAAATCAGCAAGGTATTTGGGCATTACATTTGGTACTAGGTTGAATGTCACTAGACACATTGAGAATATTTGTGCCAAGGGTAAATTATTGTTCAGCATGTTTGGTAAAATTTCGAGAACAGTTTAGGGTCTGAAGTATGCGACACAGACTACTTTGTACAGAGGAGTATTTCTTGCTGTGATTACCTACGGAGCGGGTGCCTGGGTGGACTTATTAAACAAACACCATGTAAGACTACTGGAACGGGCTCAGAGGCAGGCTCTGGTGAGGATCGTCAGAGCTTATAGAACGGCTTCTACGGAGGCGCTGCAGGTCCTGGCTGGTCTGGAGCCCCTGGACCTAATTTTAAAGGTTAGAATGTTGGAATACAAAGTCTCGAGAGGACTACCGGTGGAATATGGAAGCTTTGCATCTATGCCGGACATGTCGTCCACGCAAGTGAAACGGGGATTGCGTGCTGAAATGTTTAAAGAATGGGACAATAGATGGACTGAGTCACAGAAGGGAAGAACAACATATGATTATCTCCCTAGTATACAGAGAAGGATAGAAATGAAATGGGTAAAACCGGGTCACTATGTCACCCAAGTTTTAACGGGGCACGGTAATTTTGCAGAGAAACTGTACTCATTTGGCCTGTCAGAGACACCATACTGCAGATGCGGACAAAGAGATACACCCGAACATACGATCTTTGTTTGTGAGTTCTTTGATACCCATCGGGGAGAACTTATGAGCTGCCTCAGTGGACAGGATGTAGAGTGGCCACCAACTAAGGAAATACTCATGACGGAGGTATTATATCCCGTGTTTGAGAAGTATATCACGGATGTCTTAAAGGCCAAGGAATTATGGTAAGGGGAAGGAATTTTAGGAGTTTCTTGTATAGGATTTTGGCCCGTCCCCCAGCCCAGGTCCGCCGCAGACTTTTCGTCGGCGGGGCATCTGGGCCTGGGTGTCGGGCGGCGTAGTTGTGGTGATAGGCGTTAGGTACAAGGACTTTGAGTTCCATATAGGAACCGATGACTCCACCTCCACGAGGTCCTCGCCGGGCAACGTTCTTCCGCCCCCTGCAGTCAAGTGGCTGTGGGAGTCGAGAGGACGGCGAAGTGAGTCATCCCCATTATAACGCCGGTGGGAAAGGTCCACTCACCCGAACTCAGACTTGTTCTGATAGGGTGGGGTTTTTTCGGGTTCAAATTTCTCTTCGTAGGTGGTGGATCGGGAGGGTAAATGACGTGATATACTGGTATGGGATAAGCTCCCGAGGAACAGTAGGCTGAGGTGTTCTACATATCTTCACCTTGGACGTCACATTCAATGTCCCTATCTACTGGTAGAACTTTTGCACCAGTTTATCTTTTTTCCTTTTCCCTTCTTCTGGAGAGGAAAGGAAGAAAGATGAACTAGTGCAAAAGTTCAGCAATAAAGAACAGACCTCTAGTGTCTTTTACAGACATGATGAGAGTATTGCAACAAGCGACACTGTATAACGCAATGATCATTGCATCTTTGTTTAATACTGGTGAATAACAAAGATGCAATGATTCGCTGTCTTACTCTGTCTCGCTTTGTTGAAAAGCTCTCTGTGTCTTTTGCTGACATAGTATCTATTGCAGACAAAGACATAAAGAATGGACTGCGCGATCCCGTATCTAAGTATGGCCGTCTTCCACGGTCCCTCTCTCTCATTTTCGTTGACCATTTTGATACACGGATCGCGCAGACCATTCTCTATGTCTTTGATTGCCGACATAATGCCTTTTATTGTTATATCTTTTATAGATATAATGTACTATGTAAATATAGTGTATTTTATAGTCTCCCAATCTGCTCCAAGAACAACATGTATGCCCCTTGAGCTCCATTGGGCCATTTCTTCCTGATAACTTGTAAATCATTAGAGTAACACCATACCGATTTTTTGCTTGTTCTCAACATAGACGTATAGTGGACCACGATTCATTTCTTCACCCTCGTGAAATATTGCACTTATTACCTTGTACTTTTTTTTATTAATCGTGACATTACTCGTCGGTACGGCATTAATCCGGTTCTGGATAATTTTTTTAGAAGCACCGTTTACAAAAGTGTATAAATTGAGCTGTATTACTAAGACGGATAAAGTGGATTCGATTACGGTTTTCTTTTTCAGAACGATACCTTTACATTCGTTACAGTTACCATTTATCGTTTCCCACTTTGAAAATTCTAAATCAATCAAAGTTTGCAGAGTGACACCCTTTTTCCTTTTTAGTGTCGACTGTATAGGTAACATTAGCAAACAACTCTTTTCCAGCGTAGTTACACTGTAATTACATTTGACATTTGAACAACATATTACGTGCTTCAATTCGATTTCTAATGCATCATTGATTTCGGAATACGTCGACGTTAGAGCCGTGAAAAATTCCGAAACATCTTGTTGTGTTCGTTCTTCGAAACGTTCTCCGACAGATCTTCTAACCGCTAGAATGTTGCAACGCCTACGCTCAGCATATGCGCAGACAGCATCAGTCAATGGATTCGATACTTTATTTTTCAGTATTTGTTGCCTGATACGTACACAATGAAACGCACATTGCAATATTACATTAGCATAACACGAGACACGATCGTCATTGCAGAGGCCGTATATTTTCCATGTAACGATACTTTCTGATTCCTCGCAACCATAATTCTGTACATCATCAATGATATTAGGTATGGCCCATCGACAGTCGTGAATTTTCACAGCCTTTTTTTTGGACGAATTGATTTGTGGTAGCTGAGATTTGAACACAGATCTCAGTCGATTATATTCTGCAATGGCGCCCGAGTTTGCTTTAATGGATGCTGGATTAAAATTTATCAAATGTAGGCCACCCAGTGTACTCACTCGTGACAGACCCACATAAGCCTGACCATCACTGAACACACTCGTTCCTAGATCCATCATTGCATTTTTACACGTAATTCCTTGACTTTTGTGTATAGTTATTCCATAACTGAGAGATAATGGAAATTGTTTTCGATGTACCATCACTTTGTGGAATACTTCGAATTTAATATCTACTTTTGTTATTGTAACCTCTTTATTATTAGAAATAACTATTTTAATGGAATCAATACGATTTCCGTCAACAGAGCGATTAACCGCAACTACATTGCCTATCGTTCCATTGACAAGTCCCAAAGTTACATCAATGTTTCGTCGAATCATCACTTTAGCGCCAATTTTAATCGCTATTACCCTTTCAATGCCAGCTGTCTCCGAAACTTTATCATCTTTCTCTTCCAAAATTTTTTGTACTTTTTTTCTCATTGCTGGAGCACAGTCGACATCATCGTCCGCTATCAATAGAATTTCATCGCCGTCAATTTTATCGAGCATTGCCGTGTTAAATATCTTGCACAAATAACATGTAGGTAATAAACATATCGTATCAATCGGTAATTGATTCATATAAGCGCAAAGTTCATTCAATCTTTCGTCGCAACTACTCCCTTTGAAATTGATTTTTCTCGACTGAAGAACATTAATGTCAGAATCCGTTACCAAGCCTATTCGTACTCTGGAAAGTATCTCGCGATATGCGTTGTCACATCTTTGTCGCATATTAAGCAAGAGTTCGTCATAATCCAACAATCTCCACAAATCAGATCCACCCATGGTACCTAAATACTTCTGAACCTCCGATCGAGACATTTTAACGAATGGAAACTGTTCTTTTACAGGAGGAAGCTGCAACAAGTCTCCAAACAGAATAATGTGTTTTCTGCCAAAGAAACCATCATCTACATCTGTCGTATCGAAGATTTCACATAATCGTAGATTGATAAACATAAGTGTCACATTCGAAATCATAGATACCTCATCGATTATAAATAATTCTACATTCTTCAATTTCTCTCTCAAAGTTTTCAAGACCATATCTGACAAGTGCGTATATTTTGCCGTAGATTCATGGGTGACTGGTAGCTGAAACATTCTATGAATCGTCAAGCCATTGATATTGCATGCCGCGATACCCGTGGGAGCTGATATGGCAGTCACTTTTTCCAAATTTAAGGAAATCCAATGTTTAATTGTGTCAATAAGAAAACTTTTCCCTGTACCACCCTCGCCACTTACATACAGTCGCAGAATCTGATTTTGATTCTGTAAAACTTGGCATACTTTATCGAAGACTCTTTTCTGATCTTCGTTCAATTGCGACATCATTTGCGATAAATCAATCGGGACGTCAATCTTACCAAAATCTTCCAGATCTTTCATCGCGTCGTCAGCTTCTATCGGATTGCAATCCAATTCATCGTCATCGGATTTGTCTTTATCTGTTTTCAGATCATTTTCGCGCTTCTCGATTAATTCAGCTACGTTCTCAAAAGCTTTCTGTATTTCTTCGAGTCTTTCGTGATATTTCATTGCTTTTGTCAAAGCAGACTCTGAATTCTTGAAGGCATCCGTGTAGGTCTCGTATGCGCCTTTCAGTTCACTCAAATCTCTCCACGGTTTAAACAAAAGAAGCAGTGATTGATCACGCATACTCTGACATTTTGCTTCCGGATCTTTTTTGTACTGATCACGCATACTCTGACATTTTGCTTCCGGATCTTTTTTGTACTGATCACGCATACTCTGACATTTTGCTTCCGGATCTTTTTTGTACTGATCACGCATCATTGCGCATTTCATTTCTGAGTTCATAACATACTTCTCTCTGTGAGAAAAAGCATCTTTTGCAATTCGTTTTGAACGCTGTTCTTCAGTTTCCTTGCTACGTGCAAGTCTTTTTCTCAGCGCATCCGCCTCTCGTCTTTTTAACGTCTTCAACGGCAATAACGTTACTGGAGCAGTTGAATCGAAGAGACACGAAAAATGTGTTATTGTTTGTCTTGCAAACATTTCGGACAAATGAGATCTTAGTAAAGATCGATCATACGTCACGATACAAGGATTTATACCAAACAGAATCGATGTAGCAATCGCAATCGCCATAGGACCACAATTATAACCATCGCCTTGCGACTGAACCTCGGGAAAAACAATTGGATTCTTTTGGAAATCATGAAAGGGAAATAACTTTTCCACAAAAACTCGAATTTCTAAATTTATATTTTCTATATTTGCATTACGACTACCTTCATGAGAATCATAAATAATAACAGTTTTTGTGTCGTAATGGCAAGCAACCCAATGCCCACCCCCGAAATCGCTGTGCAGTATTTGCAAATGTTTCTTGTTCGAATTATCGAGTGGAACAATCTGATCAGGAAACTTAGTCAACCATACAGGTCGAGGCGCGTAATGAGAATTTCTCTCAAGTAGCGCATGAAAACTATCGATCATCGTTTCCGTTAACCATTCTTTGGAAGCCAAAATATTTTTTTCGGTACTACCGTAATAGAACTTGTGACACTGAGGACACATTTTCAGTTGGCGTTCGGAACAACCTTCTTATGATGCAGGTACTTACGACAGACCAAAATTCTACGCTATCGCAGCCACAAATGTTACAATAGCGAATAATTTTAGTTTGAGTCCAAAAAAAATTAATTGTTTAAATATTTGAGCACTTGTAACTATTATACTAATACTAGTAGCTAATATACTGAACACCTGTGACTGTTACTTGTCGTACTGTAATTATTACACTTCGCTTGTGCAGCCGATAATTTTGTTATTATCTTTCCGGATCTTTAAAACAAAATAGTTACATAAATGTAAAACAAATAAATTATTAATTGAAAACTACTTTGCACAAATTTCTTTGCAACAATAACAAGATTCAGTTTAGGAATTTAGAATTTTTACCAGAGACACGTAATTTATTTGTTACTGAACTTTGGTTTTTATTATAACTAGAACGATGCACAATTATTATTTTCTAACGCATTCGTAGTATATCCTTAGTAGTTTTATGATAGTTTTTTTTTTCGTTTATAATGGGTGTGTTAAGTTAGCACCCCAGCTATAGTACTCAGGAGTTCTGATTGGAGTTACTATTTCATTTTGACGAGACAAAGAGTTCCGTATAATTAATAACAAGAGTTCCGCTTAATAAACATTAAAATTTTTTTTTTAAATAGGGTGTTAACTTTTTATCAAATTTCGAGGTGGAATAGTTCTGAGCGGTTTAATAGCTTCAATTTGCGATTGCCTAGAGTTAAAAATAATTTTCGAATTCCTGATTCTTTTTGACGATACAAAGAGTTCTCTATGATTTTTAATGACATGCGCTTAATAATAATTCTTTAAATCTTTAAATGATTTTTTAAAATAGCGTGCTAACTTTTTAACGAAATTCGCATAGTTCTGATCAGCTTAACAGGACTATTTTGTGAACACCTAGAGTTCTTGATAAAAAAAAATAGTAGAAATCCTTGAAAAATTATTTGGGAATACCGAGTAGTTCTGATTGTGAGCGTTTCTTATAGTTCTCCACGAGTTCTACCGAAAACTGTAAAGTGAAAAAGCGATTAGACTAAAGATTTGCAAGATATAACGACATTTGTAAGAACAGAACTCGTCGAGATCTGTCCAGAATTCTGAACAAAACTACTCGGTACTCCCAGGAAATTTTAGCATAAAATCTCTTCCAAAGTCTCACATCGGAAAATTTTTTGAGAGTATCGAGTACTTCTGACAAGGAACACTAGAGGAAGGTCAGCGATACCGACATACTACTTTGTTTTTGGACTATATTTTTTAGACAAAAGCAGAAAATAAATCTTTGAAGATATAAATGTAAACTGAAAAGTGTCTTCTATTGATGCTCTATGGCAATTTTTATAATACTGTTAAGAATTTTGCAATAATTAACTTTTTTATCGAATAGGCGAAAACGAGCGTCAGTCAAAATGGTCCCCAAAACTGACATAAGCGTAAATGGCCACAGAGCATGCGCATGTGACCACAGTGCAGGTTATGTTACGATGCACGATATGTCGTGATGGGACACGTGTCGGTTTAGGCTATAAACGATTTTATTTTTAAAACCGTATTATAAGAAAAATAAGAAACAGGAAAATATAAATAAAATAGTTTTAGAAAACTACAAACATATAAAAAGACTTAATATTATCACTAATATAGCTACTATTACTTAAACTACGTAATTTATAAAATAACATCATAAGAATTTTGTTTTCACATTTGTAGAATTCGTTTTTAGCTGATTTTATATAGAAACAAGCCACATATATATGAATTATGGGTTTTTACTTCTTTAATTATCTAAACAGATTATGTTTTCATTAGTATTAATGAAGTGCAAAGATTAGTTTACGAGAAATAAGGGGGTGTCACTTTAGGAGACCTATGTCAGTATCGGTGACTTTCCTCTACCCAAGTGTGACACGCCGATTTGGCTGCAAGTTGGCACATTTTTAGAACTCGGAAAAATAATCGATACGTATTTTTTTTTTATCGGCAAAAAAGAAAGTTTAAGGGTTAAAACTACCCCCTGTATTGCTCAAAAACCCCTAAAATGCATAATAATATGCACGCACATATTAAAAACTTTCATAAAATTTGGTCCGCCATTTTGAATCCTCCATTTTGAATTTTGTAAATTTTACCTCAGATTCTAAATCAGCGACCCAAAAACCCGTTTACATACCAAGTTTTATGGAACCCAAAAAACCCCAAGATACCAAGTTTTATGGAAATTAGTTTTACTTAATATGTGCGTGTATATTATTATCAATGGACTGGAAATTTCGTATTTGGACTAATATTTCTCGCCAAAAAACGAAGAATAGATTATAACAGGTTTTTTCATCGTTCAAGTAAATTGACTACTACCATCAAACATTGGAGCATTTATAATGTTTCACAAATTTTGCGACATGTTAGAGCGTAATTTATATATTAGAGAATTTGCAATTATTATAATATTAATTATAGTGGGGTTTTTATGCGGCTGAGCATGACTTTGTAAAGTCGAAACGTTCCGATTTAAGTTTTTTGATTGTAATAAATTTATTGAACAAATATAGCTCATTGTTTTTTTGACCTGGGACACTATTTTATAATTTATAAGTAGATGTTCTGTACTTTAATACAGTTGTCAGAAAAATATCAAATTTATGCACATAGATTTTACGAAAATAGGCGGAAGTAAGAGTACAACGTACAATACAGTACAACTTACAGTTCAAAGTGAGTGTTGTTATTTTTGACAATTTGTCACATCGATGAGGATTGCTTCTTTGCATAAAAATCATATATATATATACTATATATGCTCAGTCATAATAAGATCAATTTTCTGTATGTACGATATAAGAGTTGCTTGCAAACAATTTTCAGATCAATGTGACAACTTATAAATTACAATACTTACTTTGAACTGTAAGTTGAATCGTATAAAAATTATTATATGACTAATTTCTAATTATGCATACATATATGAATATATATGAACATGACCTTCGTTTATTACTGATCACAATAATTATATTTTTTATTATTTGAAGATGGTCTAATTAAATGGCCGAAACATGTTATATCTTAGTTCCATTGATTAGGCTATTTTCAAACATATGTTAACAGTAGGACAATCAGACAATAATAAATTAACTCAATTTCTAATTGTACATACATATAAGAATGCATAACTTTTCATACTTAATTTTTAGACGATATATAACTTACAGTTCAAAGTGAGTATTGTAATTAAAAAATTGTCATATAAAATAATTGTCAAATTGTCTTTTTTTGAATGATAATATATGATTATCAAGACGTGTTACACACAAACAAAGGATCTGAAAATCATTCACAAGCAAATCTTATATTATACGTAGAGAGAAGTGATCTTTCGATGATTAAGCATGACTTTCGTTCGTTTATCACTCTTCACGACAATTATATTTTTTATTATCTGGAAATGTTCTAATTCTCTAATGGTTATAATTTTTATATTACAATTATAATCGTAATTGAATATGATTACTTTTACAACTACTTAGTTCAGCAAGAGCATATTGTCTATCGTAGAAAGAATTAATTTAATGTGATCAAGAAGAAAGAATTATGTCATATATAATATATACATATGCAATTACTTGCAGCCAGAGTTGAGCATTACTGTGTAACGATGCATCCCCCATTCTGGCTAACACCACCCAGCCGAACGCCGCTGCATCGCTGATTGCGATGCAGTGATGAGGGCGCATAGCGCCCGATAAAATAGCAAACATAATTCGCAGGTA